GTTAGAAGGTGGAGCATAAGTACCAGTGAAATCACAGAGCCACTGCTCTGAGCAACTTGTTTGGAAAACCCAAAGTCATGAGTTTAAAACCTTATCTAGGATGTTGCATCTCTCGATCCTTTTTTTTTTTTTTGGCTTTAAAGAAAGTCACGCCCAAATAACTAATAAATAACACTTGTGTTGTACTTGAGCACTTCAAGGATCTGTGAGTTCATCAGACAAACTTGATGGGGCCTCCCACAGCTGATGTTCACTTGGCTATCTTAGACCTTGAGTACCTAGGATCACCAAAATGACTTTACTGAAGGATTGTAAAATTAGACAATATATACACTTTTTTAATATTTACATATAAACTTACACACCAAAATGAGTACGCTTTGCAGAGCAAGGCATATGTGCTAATCATGTGGTTATTAGCTCTGGTACACTTTGAGGGTGTGTCAGGCAGATAACCTGTGCCTGCAGTCTGCAGCTGGTTTGTTATTACTTCCATTTGATTCAGGTGACTATGAACCACTGGCAGATGGATTATATTTAACAACCTTTACAGTTGGATTAGATACATGTGAACCACACATTACAAAAACCTAAGACATAAAAATCTGATGAGTGAGGACGGGGGAGGTTGTGTAAATTGAAGCACACTATGGTGTGTGTATTTGGTTTCATCTTTGCACAGTGCCTGGAACATCGTAAGCACCTAATAAATGCTTTATCATTCATCATTCAACTGTTATTAAATGTTGGCACATTGAATCAAAAAGCTACAGACAAATTTCACATTGAGAGTGAAGGTATTTAGAACACCATAGTGCTTAACTCTTTGCTTTTTAGAAGTGAGTTGTAGCCATAAACTTGGGATGAAAAAAAGGCAGGTAGATATATTATGTTGAGATGTGTTTATTGAATAATTCTGGAAATGAAATGATAACCCTCCTTATGAGATTAATAAAATGGGCCAGGAAATAACCAAATAGGAATATGGTGCCCTGAGAAGCCAGCTTTTAACAACCTGGCAAGACAGAGTTATCACATTCATTGCATTACTGAGGCCTGATTCACGATGGGAATTCAAGGAAGTATTGCAAGAAATGTCGATGGAATATTTCCACAGACTGACTATGTGAGAGAGCATGATGATGTAGCTCAGTTTCAGCTATTTTATGTAAATGATGTTTATTACATCCATTTCCAAAGACTTATTCTAACACATTCTAAGGTAACTTATAGCCCTGTGGTCATTTCTACAATTTTGTCCTTCCTTATGCTGCTTGTTCCTGGATTAAAATCAGTTCCTTCTGAGAAGAAAATGGGATTTCTCCCTCCAGTTTCCAGATTTACACCCTTACTTAACCCCAGTCTTAGAGTACCTAAAAAGCGTTGGCAAGCCCAAGATTCCAAGTTTTAACCCTATCTAGGGTAGTACCCCACCAACCCCATTTTTTTGGCTCTTAAGAAATTCATGTCCAAATGTCATAGCACTCTTATAAAGTGTTCTCCTGAGATTGGTTGTGTGACTGCTTCTTTTTATATCCTTTTCCTAGCTAGCCTAGGTAGATTTTTTTATGTGTGTATACATGTATATGTGTGTGTGTGTGTGTGTGTGTGTGTGTGTGTGTATATATGTATATATGACTTTTTATTACTTATAAAAGAAGTCTTAAAATGGTTTAATGATATTTTTTAAATTTGGTAAAAATAAAACTGGACCTGTTCTTTTATGTTTAATAGTCTCTTAGCAGTGGTAAATTGTTCTGTAAGCTGAGTCAGTGTAATCCTTCAGTTAAAAGTTAAGTGACTTGTTTTCCTTGAGATATTAAGAATTCATACACAGAATTTTAATTCATTTCTATTCTTAGGTACACTGTGATACGAGTTTATGGTGAATTCATGTTTGTTTTAATTTAATTGTTTAATAATTGTTTTCTATCTTTTCTCTCTGGTAATTGCCAGACTTTGTTTCTTGCCAGTAGGCTACCTCCATGGGAAAGGTGGAGGTTACAGGAGAAATTTTGTTCTAGAAGTCCCCACTCTCCCCCAAAAGTGTTCTCTCTCCTTTGAACCAGTATAACACTTTGTTCCTCTTTGTTGCACCTTGGTATTATACCTTGTGTTCCAGATTTTTATGTTATTTTTTCATTTCCCCTGCTTGACCATAAGTTCCCTGAGGACAGGAATGGTGGCTTCTTCACAGCTCTGAGCACAGTCCCTCACACATAATAGATGTTCAAGGAATTTTTGTTAAATTGAATTACTGTGAAACAATTCTTGCATCAGGCATGGTGCTGCATGGCTGTAAACCTTGCTACCAGGCTAGCAGATCTCTTGAGCTCTGGAGTTCTGAGTTGCTGTGGGCTAAGCTGACCAGGTGTCTATACTAAGCTTGACATTAATATGGTGAACACCTGGGAGCAGAGAGATTGGAGTTAGGGTTGCCTAAGAAGGAGAAAACTGGCCCATGTTGGAGACAGAATGGATCAGAGCTCCCATGCCAATCAGAATGGGATCAGGCCCATAAGTGGCCTCTGCACTTCAAGTCTGGATGAGATAATAAGAACCAATGATAATTAGATAGATAGATAGATAGATAGATAGATAGATAGATAGATAGATAGATAGATAGACAGACAGATAGACAGATAGATAGATAGATAGATGTAAAATTATTCTTTAATATTTATTCTCTTTTATTTTTAAAAATAGTTTCATTGAAATTAATTGAGTTTTGTAATAATGCCCCCATTAAGGGGAAGTGGAGAAAGAGAAAATGGAATACTATATAATAAGGAACAGTAAGAAGGCTAATTTGTCTCGACTAGTATATGCACATTGTTGTTGAGTCATTTCAATTGTGTCCAACTCTTTGTGACTCCATTTGGGTTTTTTGTTTTGTTTTTTGGCAAAGATACTGGAGTGGTTTGCCATTTCCTTCTCCAGCTCATTTTACAGAGGAGAAACTGAGGCAAACAAGGTTAAGTGACTTGCCCAGGGTCACACAGCTGTTAAGTTTCTGAGGCCAGATTTGAATGCATGAAACTGAGTCTTTCTGATTCCAAGCCCAGTGCTTTATCCACTGCACCACCTAGCTGCCCCATTGTGTATGTAAAGGGGAGTAATATGCAGTTAGCTTGGAAAAGTAGTTTGGGAACAGGTCATGAAGGGATTTAAATATCAGAGTTTTTATTTGGTCCAAAAGGTAACCGGGAACCACTGGAATTTGCTGAGTGAAGAACTGACATGGTCTGAACTGGGCTTTGGCAGCCACGTGGAACCTGGCTTGGAGTAGAGAAGAACTTGTGGCAAGCAGACCAATTAGGAGACTATCCTAATAGTCCAGGTGAAAGGTGAAGAAGATCTCATCAAGAGCAGAGACTATGTACCTGTAGGAAAGGGAATGGATGGGAAAGATGTTATGAAGGTAGAAGAGACAAGACTTGGCAATAGATTGGCTCTGTGGAGTGAATGAAAGTTGAGGATGTGTGTGAGGTTGCCAGTCTGGCTGACTGGAAGGATAGTGGTGTCCCCTCAACAGAAATAGTGAAGTTTGGAAGAAGCGGGACAGCGGGTTCAGTGGAAAAGTTCTAAGTTCTGGTTTCAGATATGTTCAGCTTGAGTAGCCTATGGGGTAGTTGAGGAGAGAGCAGAGAGAAAGCAATGTCACAGAATCCCAGAGATGAGAAGAGGATCAGTGGTGTCAAATCCTACAATGAAGTCAAGAAGAATGAGGATTGTGAGTAGGCCTGAAGATCTGGCAATTAAACAATCATCAGTAACTTTGGGGACAGCGTTTCTAATTGACTGAAGGCACGAGCCAAATTGCAAAGGATTGAGAAATGAGCCAGAGGAGAAGTGGAGGCAATGAATATAGAAACATTTTTGTTAGAATTTGGCTGTGAGAGGGAGAAGAGATATAGAGGGGATAGTAAGTAGGTGTCTAGTAAGAGGTGATTTTTTGTTTTGCTTTGCTTTTAAGGACAGGGAAGACTTGAAGCCAGTAGCAAAGGAGCCAATAGGGAAGGATTGGAAGCTTTCTCAGCTCTGCACTTAACTTGGTTCTCTTCAATCCTTTAGCTCCTTTTCCCAACACACATCCCTCAACCATTTCCTCTCTCGCCTCTCCAACAGGCATCATTAGAGAGCATATTCTAGGAGCTCTCTTAGGAGAGGATTCACCAACCTGAGGCCCTCCTAGAGCCTTTTCTGTGCCTAACTTTCCTGAGTGCCATCGACTTCCCTCCTAATTCAGTGCCATTCAGTGGAGATCCTGAGCCAGACACTTCATATTACTGCCATTCTAACCATTCTGATTCCTACTCTAAAAACTTTCCAAAGCAACCATACTGCAACGTACTTTTTTTTCTCCTTATTATGCAAATTATAACAGCTGTAATATTTATCAAATAGACTTTCTAATTCCACTGTACCAAATTTCAGGACTACAATCTCCTTTTCCAAAGGACAGTAGTCTACTCCACATGTTAATTATTTTAAAGTAGTTTGTAACTCTTCCTTTTCCTCATCTGAAACTTTGATCTCTATCATGTGAGCCTTACTCTTCCCCATTAAGTGCTTGTTCAAACCTTTTTACAATAAGTATAACTTGCCACTTGGGATAATTCTTGGGCTCTTCCCAGATCTACCCCTCAGTTAGTCAAGATCAATCCTGCTCTCAACACTGTCTACCTCATGATGTTTCAGGGTCAGGAATAACTTAGAGTACAGAGTATATGGAGGACGATAATAGCAGGTTAAGTTAGAAAGGTATGGGTTACAGAGAAATAGAAGGGTGTCAGAATCAGTCACTCATAAAGCCCAGAGGATCCTAATTCTGCTTTTAATATAGTCACATTTACTTGCCTTGGTAGATCTTTTATTATTGTCAGGTTATAGAACAGATCTGTTTGGAACATAATGTCAACATGTCATGCCAATATTTATGCAAATTAATTTATCGTTCCAAAGTAAGGACAAATTTGTTCCATGTGTCTTTTCAACAGCTCACCCATGTTGACTCCAGAGCTGTGCAACTTGGCTCTCTCTTCATCCGAGGCCTGACCACTTTGATTCTGGCCAACAGTGCCTGTGGGTTTCCATTCAGAATGGATGACTTGATGGCTTGGAAGATGTTTGATGGGAAACTTTTTCAACAAAAGTACCAGCAGTCACACAGAGGCTGTTGTGTGGAGGAACTTCTAGAAGGCAATGTAAGTTAAAAAAATCTCTGGGCCTTTCACAATGATTGATTGATACTTTATTGTTTCATTAATGATATTTTAACATGCTAAAAAAAAAAACGATCTCACAGCCTTTTATCTGAGTGTAGCAATAGGTATTGGCCCCTTAATTTTAAGATGCTTTTCCCACTTAGAGGCTTAGTATAAATACCTTATTTTATAAATGAAGAAACCAAGAATCAGACATTAGACATTATAAGGCAAGTTCTCTTATCTGTATTATCTCATTTGGTTGGCACAACCATATTATGACACATATCCACATTTTATAATTGAATGAAACCAGATTACCCTCCTTAGGCTTCATTGAATAGGCAATGAAGTCTGATCCATTTTATTTTACATTCCTTTGTAAAACCAAACACATGTGTTAGAAACATCCATTTTGAGGAGAATCCTATTCTCTAGCTTTAAAAATATATACACAAATAAAAGTATAATAAATAATAGTATATTCACAAATAATAGTATTTTTTATTATTTTAGGAAACAAAGTACATGAATTAGAAACATCTATTTTGAGGAGAATCATATTCCCTAGCTTTAAAAATATGTACACAAATAATAACACATATACAAATAATGGTTTATTTTTCTTTTGATACTGGTTTACTTTTTTAAATGTCATTGCTACTATAAAATTATCATTCCATAAAAACTAGGAGTGTGAAATGCTTCTCTATGATAGCTTCTGCCATAATATTTAAACAGTATTCAAGACATTAAAAATTCTGTTGTTGGGCAGGGTGAATGGTGCTCATCAATCTCTGGCTGTCTTATTTAGATATTTTCAAATATTTTGAATTCTTCCTTTTTAGCAAAAAAACAAACAAACAAAAGTTACATGTATCTCCAGCACAGCTTCCAATGTAATCAAACTCACTTTTGGAGAAGTTACACAGAGGCTATCTAATCTAGTCACCTCATTTTACAGGTGAAGAAACTGAGGTCCATAGAATTGAAGTGAATTGTCTGAGGTCACACAGGTAGTAAGTGTCAGAAGTAGAATTGACACTTATGCCCTCCGACTCTAGGGCCAGTGCTATTTCTTCTGTACCCCCAATCAGAGATCTAGTCACAAAAATAGAGGAGGGGAATCACTGTGTAATCTGATTTTTCCCAAAGGATAAGCATAATAAGTTGTTAGACAAGGGCTAACAACTGTGCTTTGTTCATATTGCAAAGTGGAAGATTCTTATTTGCCAAGGCATTGGCTGTGCTGCCAAATTAGCTAAATAGTCTCAGATACTTTAATTTATTTAATAAGAATTTTTGAGCACCTGCTATATGCAAAACACTTTGAGAGAAAGAAATTCTACTTGTGTCTTGCTTGATACTTTATATTTTTAATATCAGATCTGTGATTTCATTGATGCAAGGAGCTAAAAACTGGTAAGGAAGCTCTATCAATGCCGGAAATTCCATTCTTTCCACTGATGTTAGGTAATTTGTGGTAGAGTACATCCTAGGTTTATTGTAGAGATGTGTCTTACTACTCAAACCCCAAACCCTTTCTCTTACTACCCAATTCCTTATTCCCATTTCCTTCAACCCAACACCCGCCAAAGAGGCAATCAAACACTACTTTACCCTTTCACTGTGCCCTCTGAAATGCCTGCTCCATAAGCAACAAATTTGCTTTCATCTTAAATCTTTTCCTTTCTAACTCCTTTCTTCTTCTGGTTCTCACAGAGACCTGGCTCCTTGCTGATGATATAGCCTCCCTGGCTATCCATTACAGCATTAAGTTCACTTTCACTCATTCCCCTTGACTTACTGGTTAAGATGGGGGAGTTGGAATATTCCTTGCTCCGCATTTCCAGACTCTGCCCCTACCACCATCACTCTCCTCCCTTGAGGTTCATGCAATCCACATCTACCGCCCAATCAAAATTCTGGTAGCTGTTGTCTACAGACTTCCAGGACACTCCCCCTTCCTTCCTCAGTGAGTTCAGTACCTGGTTCACAACCTTTCTTCTTCCCAACTGTTGCCCTCATATGAGGCACTTCAACTTGCATCCTAACCTTCCGGTTCTTCAGTCTACTCATTTCCCATGGCCTATTCCTCTACCTCATCTCAGCCACACACACAATGATCATTCTCTTGATCTCGTCATCACCTACTAATATAACCTCTCAATCTTCATGAACTCTGAAATTTCCTTATATGATCAAAACCTGTTGACTTTCTACCTCTCCCTCTGCCTTCCATTACTAAACCCTGCTCTTTGTCCACACCATAACTTCCAACTTTTTGACCCCTCAGTCCTCGCCCAGCCCCTCACCTCTCCCTGGCCCACTCCCTCCTCCTCTCCCCATCTTTATCACTTAGTAAACTAGTTCAGCTCTACACACTGCCCTCTTGAGTCCCTTGGCCCCTTATATCACTGATAGTGCCCTGTCAAGCCTAACCTTGGATCACTTACTTTTTGTTACCTTCATGTCTACACATGTGCTGCTAATTGAAGGTGGAAAAAAGTCAGAAATAGTGCCAACTAGGATCACTACAAATTTATGTTACATAACCTCAGGTTGGCCCTCACTGCTGCTAGACGATCCTTTTATTATATATCGCCAATTAACTCACTGTCCCACTTATCACAGCATTTTCTCCAAACCTTTTCATCCTTCCTCACATTTCCCGTGGCTCCCCTTCCACCACCTTTTCAGATGAGAACCTTGCCTCATTTTATTGGAAAAAGTTGAGGCCATTTCCCAAGAGAGCTCTCTCTTCTTCCCCTCCTTCTCATCCCATATCACTCAGATACATTTTGCCATTATCTCTTCCTTCATTCCTCTCTCACATGAAGAGGTGGTCTTTCTCCTTGCCAGGGCAAACCCGTCTCTCTACCTGCACAAATGATCTCATTCCATCCCATTTCCTCCAGTAGATTTCCCCTTCCATCATCTCTACTCTCTCACTTTTCTTCAATCTTTCCCTCTGTGTTGGCTGCTTCCTCCTGCCTGCAAACGTGCCCATGTCTTTCCCATCCTCAAAAAAATTCTCACTTGATCCTTCCATCTCTACTGTCATCCCATATCTCTTTTGTTGCTAAACTCCTTATAGAGGCTGTTTAGAAGGGGTTATTCCATTTCCTCTTCTCTCACTCTTTTCTTAATTCTCTATAGTGTGGTTCTGACCTCATCATTCACCTGAAACTGCCCTCTCCAAAATTACCAATAATCTCTTAATTGACAATTCCAGAGGCCCTTTCTTTTCTCCTCTTCCTTCTTTTCTTCTCCTTCTCCTTCTTCTTCTTTTCCTTCTTCTTCTTCTACTTCTCCTCCTTTTTCTCCTCTTCTTCCTCTTCCTCCACTGGAGCTTTTTTTTTTATTTTTAAATTCAATTTTATTTTGAGTTCTGAATTCTCTCCCCCCTCCTTTACCTCCCCTACCCATTGAGAAGAAAGAAAACCCATTACAAATATGTATAGTCATAAAACAAATTCTTACATTAGGAAAGAGAAAGAGTGAAGAAAGAAGGAAGAAAGGAAGGAAGAAAAAGAGAAGAAAGGAGAGAATGTTTCAGTCTGTACACTGGAGGTGGATAGCATACTTCATTATGAGTCCTTTGGAGTTGTCGTAGATTGTTGTATTGATCAGAGCAACTAAGTCTTTCACATTTGATTATTTTTACAATATGGCTCTTACTGTCTACAATGTTCTGCTGGTTCTGCTCATTTCACTTTGCAACAGTTCATACAAATCTTCACAGGCTTTTCTGAAACCCTCCTTTCATCATTTCTTACAGCACAATAGTATTTTATCACATTCATAGAACATAATTTATTCAGTCATTCCCCAATTGATGGATATCCCCAATTTTTTGCTACCACAAAAATAACTGCTATAAATATTTTTTGTATATATGTGTCCTTTTCCTCTTTATTCGGTCTCTTTGTGGTATAGACCCAGTACCCTAGGTCAGAGTATGTACAGTTGAATAGCTTTTTGGGCGTAGTTCCAAACTGCTTTTCAGAATGGTTGGACTAGTTCACAAATCCAGCAGTGCATTACAGTGCCTGTTTTCCCACAGTCCCTCCAGCATTTGTCATTTTCCTTTATGTCAGCTTAGCCAATCTGATGGGTACCTCAGTTGTCTTAATTTGCATTTCTCTAATTATTCATGATTTAGAGCATATTTTCATGTGGCTATTGATAGCCCCAGTGGCCTTTTCTCACTCCTCATACTTCTTGATCTTTCCACAGCTTTGACACTGTTGATCATCCTCTTCCTCACTTGATACTCTTCTCTCTAGGTTTCAGGACACTACTCTCTTTTGGTTCTTCTCCCACCTATCTGATCAATCCTTCGCAGGCTCCTTTGCTGAATTTACATCCAGATCGTGCTTACTTGCCATAAGTGTCCCACAAGGCTGTGTATCTCATTAAGTCCCATGGATTCAATTGTTTATCTCTGTGCTGATGTTTCACAGATCTACTTATCCAGCCCTAACTTCTCTGCTGACTTCTAGTCTCACATCTCCAACTGTCACAACCTAGGTAGATCCTTGTTTCCTTACTGTCAATCAGCTCCCTCCCTCCCTTCATTCAGTCCGTCAGTGCCTATCAGTTTCACCTTTTCAATATTTCTTGAATACACCATCTTCTTTCTGACACTGCTACTGTTCTAGTGCAGGCCCTCATCTCCTCATGCCTAGACCATTGCAATAACTTGGTAGTGGATCTGCTTGCTTCAAATCCCTCCCTATTCCACCCCCTCCAGTAAACTCCCATTGCCCTCTGTCACCTCCCAACCAAATTCAAAATTCTTGGGCTTTCAAAGTCCTTCATAAGCTAGCTCTACCCCGCACATATACATTTCCTAGTCTTCCTACCCCTTATACTCCATTGTGCATGTACTTTGTGATCCAGTGACACTGGGCTTCCTTGCTATTCTATTAAAAGACACTCAATCTCTTGACTATAGGCATTTTCACTCAGTGTCCTCATTGTCTGGAATGCTCTGCCTCCTCATATACACCTCCTGGTTTCCCTGGTTTCTTGTAAGTCTCAGCTGAAATCCTACCTTCTCTAATCCCTCTTCATTCTAGTACCTTACCTCTTCCTATTTATGTTTCCTTTTATAGCTTGTTTGTACACAGTTGTTTTCATTTTGTTTCCCCCATCAGAATGTGAGCTCTGCAAAGATAAGAACTGTCCTTTACCTTTCTTTGTATCCCCTGTCCTTAGCACAGTGCTTGGCATATAGTAAATGCTTAATAAATGCTTATTGGCCAATATTTCATTAAGTGAATGTCTTTCCTTTGAGCTAGGTATGTAAATATGACTATTAGCATATCAGTAGGGACTCATGAGCTATAGTTTTAGGGTTACCTTGAACCCCAAGTAACTGTTCAAAGGAGGAACCACCCTTTGATTGGGAGGAATTGGTCAGTAGCTGGTTTACAACTTAGAATCTCAGAGAATTTCATTGAGAAACTGAATGGTTAAGTTAAGCTTGAACTCAAGTCTTCTTTACACCCAAGGCGATCTTGGTACAGTGCATTCATACTGGTGTGATGGAAGACCTACTGGAAGCACAGAGGCCCTAGATTCAGATCATCTCAACCTCTGATCCTTACTGCCTTTCTGACCTTGGACAGGTCATTTAACCGCCCTGGGCCTCAGTTTCCTCATCTTTAAAATGAGAGGTAGATGTCCTATGAGGTCTCTTGCAGCTCAAAAACCATGATCCCATGAATCTGATGATCCTATGCCTTTTTTTTCCTTCTGACTATCATTTCTGATTAATGAAAACATTCTAATCAAATACTTTTCTTATAGTCTGTCTTACACCTAGAATTTTACCTCTAGCAGTAGAATATGAATGTCCCCAGCCATCCATCTTAAACATGGCCCCATTTCTGAACATTAACAAAGTAGAACCAGGGTCCTATTTCTGTTATTCCTCACTTGGAGAGTATGAGGGACAAAGGCCTGCCTTAAACTCTCTACTTTTTTTCTAAGTAAATGCTTTAGGAACAGAATATCAAGGGCACTGAAAGTCCCTGGGACTAGAACAGGTTGTGGTTTGCCTTGAGGCAAATCACCAGCTTGAATCCATGATTCAAGAACTAGCTTTTTAATTGTAGCAACTTTAACTAGCATACGCTATCAGAGCTGCTAATATCAGACCTGCCTTACCTTGACACATAGCATAGCATTAATTTAAGTCTTTGTCTTGCAGAAATATTGGCTGACTGAGTTCCAGAACCTAAAATCACTCATTTGCAAAGCCTGCATGAAGAACAACAGAGCTCTTCAAAGCCAACAGCGAGGGAATGAATTCATCAGAGGTTGACCTTGTTGGATATTAACTCTGCCACTAAAATAAATGTTTAAGGAATTATTACCAAAAAACCCCTCTAATTCCCTCAGGTGTGAAAAAAATATATAGTAGTGAAAGACTGATAAATTAAAGGAAAGACCTGAAATAAAATTGTAGGTCTATAGCTAGTGATTTAGTGTTAAGCTCTGGTCCTATAGTAAAACATGTTCGGAAAGGAACCATTCACCTTCCACTAATTATAAAATTTTTAAATAACATTCAAAGAAAGCCCTTCCCACCTCTTTCTGTAGGCTCCTCTGAAATTAAGGCACTTATTATGCCAATAATTACAGCAGCTCCATCTTTCTCTTTTTGCAGATGGAATAAAAGAACACTTCTCACAAATGCTACTTCCCTGCCCACTTTGAGAACTTGAGAATGGCCAGTCTTCTGGCACATTTGAGTCTCCTGAGAGAGAGAGAGAGAGAGAGAGAGAGAGAGAGAGAGAGAGAGAGAGAGAGTGTAGGAATTATTAAATCAATCTTAAAAATTTCATCTTGAGAGTGAGGGTTAAGGAATGGGTGTTCTAACTGGTAAAAGGAACTCAGAGCAAGGAGAAGAAAGTTCACTTAGTTATATTTCTTTATTTTTCCACAACCAAGAGTCTGTTAGAGTCTTACCTTTTCTTCTACTACCAATGAGCTAGCCAGAAATAGGAGTTTTCAGTGTACAGCTCTCAAGGTGGTATTTGTCCACTAACAACCACACTTTTGTATAGCATAGTAGCACAAGTACTTTCCACTCTGATATTTGTTTATTAGGAAACCATTTTGTTCTACTTGTTAAGAAAAGAGAGATGACATGAAGAAGTGTAGGGATGAAAAGAATCCTTTTAATCCCATCATCTTTCTCTCAGTGAATGAGGAAATGGTTACCTGTCTAGAGATGGGTGGAGTCAAGCAGATAACCTCTTAACCATTGTGAGTGGTTAGCTTTTTGTCCTCAGCCCTCACCATCCTCAAAAGTATTTATTTTTAAAATACTTCTTTGGTTTGACATTATGCTAGATACTGTACCACATACCCAGGAGCTGCTTCAATAATTTATAATTAGATTGCTTAAAGTTATGTTGAAATGAACATCCTTGTCTTCTTGGCTTGTATTTCTTTGTTACCTTATCACGTTATAATAGTTTTCAAGGCTAGAGAAGGATCAGGATAAATCAGTGAAGAACATAACTAAAGCCTTTAGTACATGGGATGAATAGAAATAATAGGACCAGGCAAATATCAACTAGTAAGTATAGTAAGAGTTTTTTCTAAGTTTAAAATTTTTATAAAGGCACTAATATCCTTTAGAACAAGGATACCCAAATTTTTGGAAGTGAGACTCTACTCTACACTCTCACTTGAGGCCTGCAATGGAAGGAACTGAGGTGTTACTACTAATAAAGAAGGCCTACTAGTGGAGACATGGGGAAGGGTGGGGGTGGAGATGTCCTGCTAACAGCAGTCACCATATTACATGTGATGTCTTATGGCCACACTCTCCACCTCAGTGAAAATTTCTGGGAGCTTTAGGGAGGGAGTGGACCCTCCAGCAATCATATCCAGGGTGTCTGTGATCAACTGGTTGATGATGGTAGGGCTCTCCTACTTTTCAGTAATGTTAAAAGCCAGACTTCATTGGATATTGGATGTTGGATATTGCCTTACCAGACTGTGTTGTACATGATATGTAGTTTTGAACATAACATTTGATAGGTGTTAATATAATAAATCTATGTCCTCATAGAGTCAGAAAGCAGAAGATGGGGCTCCAGTTTCCAGAGATCACATCAGCCTCTTTTTTCATCTTTGTTTCATAATCCCAACCAAGGACACCAATGGAGAGGCCTTGGGCCTTACTCTTCTAGATTTGAAACTGGTCCTTCAGGTAAAAAATAAATTCATAGAATGGCATCATACATGCTTACAATTGATACATATCTAATTTACATTCCTTGGTATGGTAAAAACACAGATAAATTCCATATTTTTTTGTTTTTTCATAGTTTATTAATTTTCTGTCACTCCGTTAAGCATAGTCTTCCTATTTTGTTATAATTTTGTATTTAAACAATAGAAAACTGTTATAATAGTCATATACACATATGTCCTTTTAACTCAATCCTAATAAAATACAGCACACTAGTAACACTATTCTGAGTTTTTCCGTGACTTGGCTTATATTGTGTAAAAGTGTTACAGTGTAATCTGGGAAATAACAAATCCTTTACATCTTACATCTGTGATACAGATGATATCTGGTTTTAATGCAGATGTTAAGCTGACTTGGGTACACAGTAATTTGCACTTTAAATACATGGAAAACCTCACATCTACATTTTAAACCTAAATTTGAAACAGTTGTTGACAGTCTAACTCTATAGACTTTCAAATTACTCCAAATTTATGATTTTATCCTTTCAAATAGTAGTACTGTGCAAACACATCATTATTTTCAATCTAAATCATGATTTAGCTTTTTACATCATGACCTTAAAAACTTGTAAATGTTTCAGAAATTGTTAATGTAATGCTTAACTAAAACCAAGGGCAGTTTTCATTTTGAACATTGGTCATGCAAAGCTTTCTGAATGTTCCATTACTAAAACTAGAAAAGGGAAAAACTACAAAGGTTTGGACTTAAAGTTATTTTAGAGATTCACTTGAACTAGTTTAACCTTCAGAGGTTTGCCAAATAATGCCACCAGCTATCCAGCATAGCTGGATGGTTTAATAGATGGTTTAATTCATTGTGCTTAGCAACATTCCATCCTCTTCTCTAAATTCTGTTACAGTATGAATATAAGTAAGATTTTTCCTTTAGCAAGTAACAGGCAGTCAGTCAATAAACATTTATTATCAACTACATGCTAGCCTCTATGCTAAGCACCAAGTTTCCAAAGGCAAAAATGAAACTTTGTCATCTGTATATTTATGTCACTGGCGTATAACTGAGAGTCTAGGAAAAGATTTTCTTTACATTAATTCAAATACATATTGAATTATTTTAGCTCACTCAGTATGATAGTTTAGTAGCTGAGCACTAGATGGGAAATGATAGATGAATTTGTCCCCTACCCTAAAAGCAAATGGGAAAGACCACTTTTTCTGGAATACTGTATCATCGGAAAGCATGACATTTTTGGATATAATTGCCATGGACATAGTTTGTTTCTTGTTTTAATACAAAGCAAGATGTAGCATATATGTGTCTAAAATATTTATTTTAGATTAGAGGCAGCTAGGTAGCCTGGGACAGAGTGTTAGACTTGGAATCAGAAAGACCTGAGTTCAAATCCTGCCACAGACACTAGCCACATGATGCTAGGCAGGTTATTTAACCTCTCTCTCAGTCTCAATTTCCTGATCTATAATTATAGATTATATTAAGTATTATTATTATATTATAATAATTGGGTTAATTACAAAAAATAATAATAATAATAACGATAGCATCTACCCCACAGGGTTGTTGTGAAGATCAAATGAGATATTTGTAAAGAATGTTTTAAACAGTAAAATGGGATAGCTGGTTGGAACAGTGAATAGAGTGTCAGGTCTAGAGTCAGGAAGACTCCTTTTTCTGAATTCAGATCTGCCCTCAGACACTTAACTAGCTGTGTGATCCTGGGCAAGTCACTTAACCCTATTTGCCTCAGTTCCTCATGTGTCAGGTGAGCTGGAGAAGGAAATGGCAAACCAATGCAGTGTCTTTACCAGAAAAAAAAAAACAACCAAATGAGGTCATAGAGAGTCAGACACAACTGAAACAGCTGAACAACAGAAAAGCAGCACAATGCTATATAAATGCTAGCTGTTAATATTTTCTCTGGTATGAGCTCCTTAAGGATGTGGAGAACATGTTTAATCCCCTCACCACCTAGCATCTTGCCTTACAATGAATGTTTGTTGGATTGCATCAGATCTTTTGTTGAGTTATTATCCCGAGATATAGAGACGTTGCTTATGACCGGGACAGGCAGGAACGGCTTCCTTTAGGAGATTGCTCCTGAACTGATCCTTGAAGGGAGCGAGGGATTTTAAGAGCTATCTCTACCTGAGTATGTAAAGAGAAAGAATATGAAATAAGTCTGGAAAGGTCGAGAGGAGCCAGACTATGGAGAGCTTTAAATACCAAAACAATGGTTATATTTTTTTACCCTAGTGTCTAGCCAGTGAAGATTTTTGAATAGTGATATCATCAGACCAGCATCTTAGTAATATTAAATTTGATTACTGTGTGGAGGATAGTTTGGGAAAGGAGAAGACTGGAAGCAGGGGGACTAACTAAGAGGCTGTTACAGTAGTCCAAGGGAGAGGTGACTTAGAGTATCAGCTCTATAAAATCTTACAGAGGAGCTCGGTGGAAAATTGCAGGCAGGATCACCTCAAGGAATACTAGAGGGGAAAAAAGGACATTTATAGGAAGCTTAGCAAAAGGTCAAGGTAAGATAAATCATACCAAGAGCGTTTACAGATGAAATTGCAAGGGATACAGTTAACAGGTGGAAAATGGAAAAGATTGTTCAAGGTTAATGTAAGAAACTACTCTTCCTGTCACTGACAGCAGAGCCACTGCCACAAGAATCAAACATCAGAGTCCCCAGTTTGCTGCATGAGAAAGTAGAAGTGGCGCTAAAGAAACCAAGAGGGAGAAAGGATCAGGACCAGACTAAGTACAGTATGTGTCCAATCTGGAGGCAGCACAATTTTGGGGTCACTGAGAGATGGACTCTAAAAATATGTGACAGAAAAGAGGATAATAACAAATGCTTACAAAAAAGGATATTATTGCTACAGGTAAATGAGGCAGTACCAGTAGCCACCAGCCACTGATCCCCTGTGGGAATATAGAATAGGAATTCTCCTATCCCTACAAATTCTTTATGAGAATAATCTACACACATATCAAGGGCATCCTTGACAAAGATGTGAAAGGGAACAGACAGGCAAGCAATATTCTATAGCAGACTCCATCTTTAAAGTCACCCAGTTGACTGAACAGTACAGAAAACATGAGATTCCCCTTAGGGTTATTGTTTGTTATGTATTGTATTGTTTGTTAACTATGAAAAAACCTCTGATTCGGTAGAACAAAATACCACCTTAAAGCTTCTCTTCCAACAGGTGCCTTCCATGTATGTGTAAAATTTATCCCAGATTACCTGAAAGATGCAAGAGGTTATGATGAGCCCCTGGTTATATAAGTATCAAAGCATAAAACAGGGATAACTATGCTCACCAAAGGTTTGCCATTGTCATGAAGGATTCCTACCTCAGAAGCCACTTAGAAAAGGAATTCCCTGTAGACAGTGAGGTCCTCCAGATGTTCCTGTTTGTGGTCATTGTCCCAAGCCCAAAAACATTGCAAAGCCTCCTAAATAAGGTAAATTTTCATTTGAGAGATAGCCTGACAAATTAAATTAGGGCCATCCTTGGAATGACCATTTCATAGGTCCAAGTCCTTCCCCTGGCATACACTAGCTGTGTGACCATGAGCAACTCACTTAACTTCCCAATACCCAAGGCAACTCTCTGAGGCCATAAGTTAAGTAGAAGTTTCTAATCTGCTTTGATGTAGAGTTTTTCCATATAAGGAGTTCCTCACAATCACAGGTTCAGATCCACCCAAATTTTTTTCTTCCCCCAAAAGAATTCAGCCTAATTGTCCAAGTGTTGGACAGGGGCAAGGGAAAAGGGAAACCAAGCACATAAAGAATATTTATTACCCAAATCATGATACACAGTTGGATGGGCAGCTCATACATTCATTGTTAAGGCACTGCAAAAAGACAATGAACTGGACCCAGAAATGAATAGAAGAAAGAGAGAAGGGTGCATTGCACTTGGGAAATCATACCATGCTTTTAATGATCCCAGGCTTCTCCCAGAAGCAAAAGGCCATCTTGTTACCACCAGCATCCTTTGATGGAGATTCTGTGTTTCTGCACTAATAACTTGGCAGCTCTGTGGAGAATGGATTAGGAAGAGGGAAAAGCTACTAGAAGCAGAGAGAGCATTTAGAAGTCTGATGTGCTAGGTTGGGTGAGAATTTATGAGAACTTGAACTAGGGTAGAGGCTGTGTAAGTGAAGAGAAGGGGACAAGTGGGAGAGGTGTGGAGGAACAATCATCAAGACTTGGGAACTGTTTCGACATGCGTAGTGATGGAGGGAGAAGAGTTAAGAATGACCTCAAGGTTGAGAAACTATGAACCTAGAAGGATGGCACCCTAAACTGGGGGAAAAGGAAATTTGGAGGAGGGGTGGGTTTGAGGAGAAATAGAATGAGCTCCATTTTGGACATAGAGACATCCATATGCCTCTGTGGCATCAGAGTAAACGTGTCCAGCAGTCACTGTGTAAGCCAAGTTGCCAAACTTAAATAGAAATAGATCCCTGTGGACCACTTACTGAATTAGAAAACCACAAATTAGCTGTGAATTTGACATTGCTGATACAAATGACCTATGGGTTCATTGTAGTCAGTCTTATCTATATCCCTAAGATTGTCATTGTTCAATCTATCAACATGTAGTTCCAGAACTTAGAGTAGTATGTAATGGTTGGCTTCCAAGGGTTTAGTGGTGAATGCTGCCCTATCCCTTCACTTTCCTAGAGAAGAAAAGAGTGAGACTGCCATCTTGTTCTGTGTGCTACAGGAACACTTTGCTCAATCTGTATGAGACTGGGAACTTTTAGAGAGAACAAAGCAATTTTTCATTATTTTGTTTTTCCTATAATAATTCAATTCAAACATTAAGTGCCTATTTATGTACAAGACATTCTGCTAAATGTTATAAAAGGTCATCATAAGTTGTTTGTAAGGTATGGTCAAATTTACATTTACATATATACACATACATATATGTGTATGAATATATATGTAGGTATATATGTGTACGTGCATAAATATATGTATGTGTATATATGTATATGCATTTATGTATCTTTTTTTTTTAATTCTTGGTCTTGTAGGCATTATGGGTCTTCAAACAAATCCACAGTGCTCTACCAGGGTTGATTAAGATCATGGCCTTAATTCTACTTAGTGCATGCCAAGCTCACAGTATCTTCCCAACAATTTCTTCTTTCCTTTAAAAAAAATTTGTTATTGATACATTTTGTTTTGCCACAACAGATGCTAGCCAGAAAATAGACAAACCTGCCACACACAGTAAGTTCCTGAGGGCAGTTAAGCAAAGTCACCTAATAGGGTGATTACAACCAGGAGTACATCATTTACCAAAATATTTGTACATGTTCAATTTACACACTGTTAAGAGAAGTCATGGGGTGGTGGACAGGAGTCAGGAAAGCCCAGGTTCACATCCTGCCTCTGTGACCAAAGGCAAGTCACTTTGCCTCAGAGGCAGTCTGGCTCAGGAGTTAGGAATGCTGACTAGAAGTAAGAAATTCAAATCCTGCAGACTGACTGGGTGACCCTGGGCAAATCACTGACTGGGCGCTCTCGGCTTCAGTTTCTCCATCTGTCAAAATGAGTATAATAATAGTACCTATTTCACAGGGTGTTGTGAGACTCAAATGAAAAAACGTATGTAAATTGCTTTTCCAAATTCAAAATGCTATGTAATTGTGAGTTGGTGGTGGTGGTGGTGGTGGTGGTGGTGGTGTTAGTGTTATCTTAGTCTCCAAGGCAACTGACACAGTTGCTGATCTGCATCAGTGGAGAAAGTTTCTATATCTGGAATTCCCTACACCAATGAAGTCACAGTTCCATGGAAAGAAGGAAGGAAGGAAGGGAGAAAGGGGGTGGGAGGAAGGAGAGAGGGAGAGAGAGAAGGAAAAGAATCACAGAGAAAGGGAAGAATTTGTGTTTTAACTTTAATCATTTGTTAGGAACACTGTTATCATTTGATCCCCTTTGTTTTGGCCTTTTAGTGTTCCCATTTCCAGTAATTTCTTAATTAATTGCATATGTCTATAATTATAAATTATCACACATTTCTTTTCTTGTATCTGTTGCTCATACCCAGTACAGTCTTCTAGTAAATGATCCAAATGGTGGTCCCATTCAGAACTAGGAAACCTTGAGCAAGAGTCTCAGCTCAGTCATTTTAAGTTCAGAAAGAAGTACTTAGGCATGTGGCTGTTGCAGAAACCCAGATTATAGGCAGCCATCATTTCAGTAGAGCAGCTACTGAACCTAAAGTCTGATTCTCTGGTGGTGGTGGTGGTTGTGGTTATTGTTGTTGTTGTTGTTGTTAAACACTCAGGAGTGCTTCGTACTAATTAGTTCTATCTAGTTAATGAAGTGTAAGACAAAGGGAATAATATCACTATCCGTCAACTTACTATCACCTTACTATCAAATATTTATTGCATCCTTACTGGGTAGGTGGTTCTATCCTGGTACTACAGAAATTTAACTCAAAACATACGTTTCTGTTTTTCAGTATAGAAATTTAACAGAGAATTGAACAGTTGAACTTTTGGATGTAGGAAGGAAAGGAAGGGTGTCAGAACCATTAAATTCATTGAATAATCTCCCTGTCATTCTTAGCTCCTGAAATTTTTATTGTATTTTGAGAAGTATTTTCAATCAATCATTTTCTACCCATCAGCTGTGTGTCTTTGCCCTTCCTAAGTCTCATTACATCATATTACAAGTTTGATTTTTAAAAATGTCAAGAGGGATAACTGAATTCTGAGAAACATTTGTCAGACCTGGGCCTCAGTGCCAGCAGGGCTTAGGTGCTTTGGCTGCCGGCGGGAGGGGCAAGTGTTGCCTAAGGTGCTCCTCTTGTTGCTTAGGAACAATAAAACATGAATGACCTCAGAAGCTAGGATCCAAGGACTTGGCTGAAATTTAGCTAGTAGTGCTTTGAATTTTGAAGAAATCTGCTCTTACCCTATTGGTAGAAGGGTAACAATCTTGACACAAAAGAATTTCAGCAGGATTTCCAGGTTATAGTACAGTGCTGGAAAATTTAGCACTGTGAGATCTTCAGATTGAAAACAAAAATTAAGGTATCAAATATTAGGTTAGTATGGTGTCAAAGCGTTTACAAATGCAAGGAGATCCATAAACCTTGTGTTAGGAATGCCAGGGAGCATTCTAGATGTGTTTTCCCATATGATGGTGAATACAGTGTTCGTTTTTCCTGTATTTGTTTTCTCAATTCAGGTAGCTGAATGAGGTACAGATGATATGGAATATTTTGCTAGGATTAAGTGGTAAATATTTTTTTTCAAGCAATTTTCTTCTCTCATTTTACCTTCTGTGAAGAAAGTGTTTTCTGAAAACTATGGTCACAGGGTCATCTTCAGCTGAGTTTTCCTACCTCAGTTCTCCTGTCCTTTGGGCTTCTTTCACAGTGATGTTTCATAGAATTCAGAGTAGAAAAGCAAAGAAGCACCAAATTCTAGGCTGATATCTATATTCTTAAGTGGGGTTTGTTTGTGCCAACTAAAGAACTAGCCTGTCTTCCAAAATCAACATTGTGGGGTAAAAATAGTTACCCTTTGATGGCAAGCCCTTCAATGCTCTGAGTTTTCTATTCCGTGTATTGGTAAGGGTTAAGCCCGCTCCCTTTGGCTAGTAAGGGGAATTAAACATGAAAATCACAGGCCTTGGATGGTCTTTGCTGGCCATGGGAACCATTCCTGCGTAAATGTGTGGCTATCTTCCACTGTTAAGCAAGGCCTGGCAGAAAATTTTCTCCCTGTAAACAATGGTAACCACCGAGGTGTGAACTGCATCATCCCTATTAACCTCAGGGAGGTGTTAAACATCAAAGCCTACTTAGAACTTTTTAAATGCTAACTGGTGGTCAAAGAACAAAACTACAGCTGAAGTGAGAAATGCTTAACCTTTTCCCTGCTGTTAGATACCTTTGCATTGGCCAGCTGGTGATAAATGATCTGTGAGATCCCACACATGGTAACTACCAATTCACCAATCTTCCTGTGGATTTTCGGTGTTTCTGTTAATACTTTACTGCTGTAGAAGAGGATTTGTGCAGGCATGTTTGTAGATCTTGATTGGCCATGGTAATAGGGGATTGACATAGTATAACTGAAATTAGTAAATCACTTGGAAACCTCATGTTGGGCCTTTTTTTTTTAACCCTATGCCCTAACAGCCTTTTGCCAGAGATACTAACAAGTGGCAGTTTGCTAGATTTAAATTTCCCTCCTCCTGTACAACCCCTGGTGGAGGTGTGATCTAGCAGTGAAACCAGCCAAAAGGTTGTAACCCAGGAAGAGGGAGTGCTTTGGATAACTACCTCCTGAATTAACATGTGCCCTGTAAGACTTGTACTTATATATTAAATTTTAACTTTCACTAAATCCCTCCTCTTATGCTTCACATTGTCTGACGGAAGTTGACCCTGGGTTTTCAAAGATCTTTGTAAGCTCTACTAAACTGGAAATCCTTTAAATATGGGCCCAGGAGCTATGTATCTGCTGTCTATGGATTACTGTCATAACTAAGCTTGGAGAAGGTTTTTGGTCAGAAAGTCACTGGCTTTTTAGAAATTTCACTCTTTTTATTAAATCAACATCATAATGTTCCTTGTAGGTTGGAACTCTTACACCAGAATTCTCTTCCTAATACTCCCTATCAAGAAAGCAAAAGGTGATTTAATTATAGGAATGGAAGGAAGGAATACTGTAGGGACCGTGGAAAGCAAAGCCACACATTGTTTTTCCCCTACTTGGCAAAATTTCTACCTGAAAGCCATCTGCATCTAAATTTTCAGTTCCAAAAGTCATTGGCAGCAGTAAATGTCTAGATATAATGCAGATGGTTGGGATTGGTGTTAACAGGAACAATTTTGTCTATGTTTCCTAAAAAGAAAATCTTCAGCTTTACTCTTTCCACCAACAGCTCTACCTCTCTTAATTAATTGCTTCCCACTTTATAGATCATAGGATAATTATGGAGGGGGGGGGCAGATAGTGACAAGTGCCAACAACTGAAAAGAGAATAAAGTACTACTCTCCAAATATATGTTTTTGGTAAATACTTAATGTGCTATTTTTCCTAATTTAACTATTTTGAGTTATCGAATTATATGGTTCGGATTTTATTTTTGCATACATCTCTTAGGTAGAAGATATAGGTCAGAAGAGCAAAGCCAGAAGAGAAGAGGATTCCAGCACACTCCCAGGTAAATAAATGGCATCTACTTTCAGACTGTTTAAAAAAAAAGGTATTACTCTAGGCCAAAATGAACTAGTACTTGCTTCAACTCTGGTACTCACTTTCCTCATGTGTAAAATGAGGAGATTGGACGAGAGGATCTCTCTCTAAGGGCACTTTCAACTAAGCTCTATAAGTTTATAACTTTTTATGTTTTATCTTTTAGAGCAAAGTCTTGAAAGCATTTAAATATCCTGGTCTGTCAACATATGTTAATTAAGTATGAACTGGGTAATGATAAAGATGGTTGAGATGCAAAGTCGGAACTCACAAAGTCACTGACCCTACCAATCACTTCAGAATAAAAATGAAAATAATCAATTTGCTCCTAATCATTTGCAGGGCTGCTGAGTCAATATTTGTGAAGTGCTTTGAGATTTTTAAGTGAAAAGAGCTAGGCAAATACCTGGTAGTGATATTTGTTTTACTATTTTCTGTTTTCCTTCCTAGGATTTTTGTGGACTATATGAATTGTGTTAGTTGGGATTCATTTAATGGCTGGGCAGATTTTATTCTTCCTTGAGCCTGTTTATAGTATGAATTTTAAATTGTTTCACACAGGCTTCAATAATGCTATATATTAAAATCTTGCCAAAAAGTTTAAGTGACTTAAGAGCAGTAATATCAATAAGGCAATATATAATCACTTTACCACTGAAACTTGCCAGCCCACAATTATAATAGAAACATTGCCAGGAACCTTCATAGGAGAGAAAAGGAAGTGTGGTATAATTTCACTTAGTGAGAATGGATCAGTAAATTAGCTAAACCCGTGTCATTTACTCTCTTGTGGGAGTTAGTCCAGGCATCTGTGATATAGAAAAGAAGATTGGGATGGCTGCAAGTTAATAAAGAACCTGTAGCATTGGTGATCCTTTAGCACGTATTTCTTTGAAAATACACAAGCCAGGTCTCTTTGGAAAGGAAATGAGTACTATCACTATGTAATGCTAGTCACTGTTTTTATTTATTTTTAATATTTAACATTCTCCTGGCCTTTTTGCATTGGGATCAAATACATACTTTGTTTAGAGCTCAAAGAAAAGCATTAATTACCAAATTCCCTCGGGAAATCATTCTTAAATTCAATGGCTGACTCTGGCCGAGGAGTTTTGAGTTGTAGGTTTGTTATTACCCCAGTGTTAAGGAAGATGTAAAAGCAGTTTAGGCTATTGGATAGATTTACTAACCTAGTAGCTTAGAACATAAAATACACATTACATCTGCTATATGTTGTACTTTGTCATGTACCAGTCTGTTACTGCTTATAAATTAATTCAAAACAGTGCTTTTACACTCAGTAATAAATTTAAATATTCATTTTAAATTGTTCCAGTAACACCTTAAAAACTTATCCTGGATATATGAAAGTATTTACAACATAATACAAACTGATGCAGATTTGTGGAAAGAAATTCACTACAAAACAGTTATCTAAAACATTTACTCTCAGCAGCATCCTTATTCAGGGCAAATTAATTAAAATAATGCTGCCTGACTGTTGTTATTAAGAAAAATAATGAAATAGGGGCTGCAAAAATATACCTGGAAAAATTAAAGAAAAATCATTCCATTAAGCAAAGGCTAGATGGCCATTTGTCAGGGATTGTATAGAGGGAATGTATATGTATTGGTCAAAGAGTTAGTTGTGCTAGACCCCTCAGGTTCCTTACATCTCTAAGATTCTATAGTTCTAAGTTATTAGTTAGAACTGTAATTTAAACATTTAATTAGAACTGTCATTTAAGCAGCTGTTTTGTTCTAAAAGTATTCTTGGCTTATTTTAATGGTATGCTTTGTCAGATACTTTTTTCACACAACAGGGAGATTATTTTCTACTTCAGTATCCTAGAAAAGAGAATTAAAGCCTTCACCTCTTTGCTCTCTTGGTGCTTAAGAAGAGAAGCCACATGACAGAGAGTCTTTACTTGGGTGGAAGTACTTCCTCTGACACACACTAACTGAGAAACTGTGGGGAAGTTACATAATTTCTCTGTGGCCCAGATAACTCTTAAAGAGTACATTGCAGGTGAGTTGCCTGCTTATCTGCATTGATAGACGGACATTACACATGGAGACTTCTCTGCAGTAATGAAATCACAGGTTGGAACCCTCCCAAAAAGTGGGAGTGCTTCACAAATGCTAGGGCCAGAATAGAGGTTAAACAAAAATTATCTGACTTTCTCCATATGAGAACTATGCTATGAAACATTTACTATGAGTCATCCCACTGTGACTCATTTTCTGTTCTTTATTACTCATTTTCATTAATTGTTTGGACACCAAGAATGGATGGTGGCATGTTGTTATCATTGTTGTTAAGTGAAACACAGGCAAAGATAGAATTTTGGTTCTGTGATGCATAGTCAGGCATAAAGTAGTTCAGATAGAAAATTGGTAAAGAAGCTGTTGAGAGATAGTAGTAGAAATCCTAATTTATAAAGCTATTAGGAGGTGAAGCCAAGATGTAGCAGGAAACAGAACAGCAACCTACCCTCCCCTCCCCACACGTGCACACATACGCACATGCCTGCAACTCCTCCAAACAGAGCTAGAAAATATATGCCAGACAGAATCTTAATTGAGAAATCCAAGAAAAACATCACAGTGAGTTATTTTCCTAGCCGAGGTCCAAATAGACAAAGAGGTCTATGGACTCTGGGGACAGGGTCCAGCCAGGAGTGTGTCACATGGAGCATTCCAGAGCAGAAAGAGGTTCTGTATGCACCCGAGCAAGCAGAGGTCCCAGATTCCACCTAGAGAAGCCTCAGTATGTGTAGGGTGCAAGAACAGAGACAAATTGTAGCTCACTACCTAGTCCAAGTCCCAGATCCAGGGACGACTGAGGAGGAGACCTGCACCTAAGGGTGGTACTCCAGGATTAAGAGTGGTTACAGGCCCTAGGCTGCCCAGCAAGGAGCATTGAGAAGCGAGTTGAGAAATAAGCAACATCTGTGTGACTCAGAAATCAGGAGTCTAGATCATTTTGAAAGTTACAGAAAAATAACCAAGTCAAGAACCCCAGATCCAGGGGAAGCCTAATACTATTCTGTCACTGAGCCAGCAGAGCTTTCCAGCTGGTTAATAATAGCTGGGTCCAGCAGCCATCTACTGGCGCTCCAACAAGGGGCAACCCTACAGGCCTTTTGGTCAGGAACAGGACAAGGAATTTGTATAGCTGGAACCAGAGGGCAGCAATCAGACTTTGCCCTGGCTCAGACCTCTTTGAGAGCTTTCAGAGCTTGCAGGTCCCCAACCTGAGATGTCTCTGATGTCCTAGTACTCAGTACCCCAAAAGAAACAGTGACTAAACCAGTCCAGACATTCCCAGCAGAAGTACGCAGAGCCTGGCCCTAATGCCAAGTCTGAAGTTAAGAATTAGGCAAGAAAAATGAGCAAAAAAAAAAAGACTCCTACCATAAAGACCTATTATGGTAACAGGGACACTCAAGATACAAAGAGAATGACTCCAAAATATCTACAAGCAAAACTGCAGAAGTAAAACACAGGTTGGGCAAAAATTCAACCAGAATTCTTGGAAGAGATGAAGATTCTATGACCTTCAGGGTGAAGTGAGTAGAACCAGGAAAAAATAACGAGATTGTAAAGAAGGACAACATTGAAAACTTAAGACCCCTGACCAAAGCAATAACTACAAGAGACCTATGATGAAGCACGTTACCCACCTCCACACAAAGAAATCATAAACTCAGGTTTCGGGAAGAGACAGAGATTTCCAGCCATGGCCATGAATTTGTTTGATTTGACCAGGCCTTTTTTGTTACAAGGATTTGTCTGATCGTTTTGATTGGTGGGGGGCTTTAGGAGGAAGTAGGAGAGTAGAAGAGAGAGAAAGGCTAGCAATAGTGATGTCCCCAAAAAAGGAGTGTTCTATTTAAACTTTAATGCACCGAAGAAAAGGTCAAAAGGAGGCATAGACTAGTAATACAACTTTAAAAGTAACCCATTGCTGGGAAAAAATCTCAACAGCATGTTTTTCTGATAAAGACCTCATTTCTCAAATGTGTAGGGAACTGACCCACATTTGTAAGAATAAGAGCCGTTCTCCAGCTGATAAATGATGAAGGGATATAAACAGGCAGTTTCCAGAGGAAGAAATCAAAACTATCAATAATCAAATCAAAACTATCAAAAGAAAAAAATGTTCTAAATCACTAATATTTCGAGAAATGCAATATAACAACTCAGAAGTACCACTCACACCCATCAGATTAGTTAAGGTAACAGAAAAAGAAAATGACACTTGCCAGAGGGCATGTGGGAAAATAGGTACTCTGATGCATTGTTGTGAACTAGTCCAGCCATTCCTGAAAGCAGTTGGAACTGCCCAAAAGGCTGTTAAACCGTGCATATCCTTTGACTCAGCAATATTGCTAGTAGGTCTATACCCCAAAGAGATATGTACAAAAATATTTAAAGCAACTCTTTTTGTGGTGGCAAAGAATTGGAAACTGAGGGAATAACCATCAATAAGGGAATGGCTAAACAAGTTGTGGTTATGAATTAATGGAATACTATTGTGCTGCAAGAAATGATGAAGGAGAGGGTTTCAGAAAAACCTATAGGAAGAACTTCTGTGAACTGATGGAAAGTGAAGTGAGTAACCAGGAGAACGATTTACACGGTATGTTGTAAAGATAATTAACTGTGAAAGATTTGGTAACTCTGATCAGCATGTGACCCACCACAGTTCCAAAGGACTCATGATGAAAAATGTTTGCTACTTCCAGATAGAGAACTGATGAACTCAAAGTACAGATTGAAGCATGTTTGTTTGTTTTCCCTCTCTCTCTTTCTCATTCTTTTTTTTCTTTTTTCAGGTCATGGCTAATGTAGAAATTTGTTTTACATGATTTCATATTTGTAATGGGTTTTGTATTTCTTGACTTCTCAATGTGTAAGAGAGGGAGAGAATCTAAAACCAAAAATAAAATAAATTTTAATTTTAAAAAAGAAGGTAATGTGTTAGATTTATTATACACTTTAAAAAAAACAAAGTATGGAATGGAGATTCATGGTTTTATACACAATACTCTTTCTATATGGAAATATTCATGAGATTTTTGTGTTCATTGAGTTTAGAATTTTTAAAATACTCTTTTTAAAGATAATAGTCCTTTACTGTTTCCATTGAAAATGTTTCAGAGTCACAATATCAAATCCAAAAAAGGTCTAAACAACAGGGGAACTGAGAGGTAGAATATTGATTTGGGGAAAAAAAATACTAGCCTAGGAGTTGCTTCTCACAAGTTCTGTGAACTTGGGCAAGTCAATTAACTGGACTTGGTTTCCTGATTTGTAAAGTGGGGAAGGGGAGATAAACAGTAGGAATATAAATAATCTCTAAGGTTCCCTCAGCTCTGATGTGCTATGGTTTTCTGAGTTACCTGGCAGTTTAAAAGACTCATACAAATGTTTTTTGCCCTTTGGCTTTGACTTGTGAAGAAATATTCCCTATCCTTCAAGAAAAGAAGTTCCTTTCCAGTTGTGTCTAGCTTTAAAAATAAACCCATTTGTGTCTCTGCCTTTAATAAACCCAAGTATGTATAGCTTCAGGCTTCAGCTTATATTCAAATCCCATCTTTCATTTTTAAAACAGTATATTCCCCAAATATTTTAATATCTTTGTATTTTAAAAGTATGAAATATCCTGATTATACACTTCCTATAATTCCTTTTCTTAAGAATATTTGCATACCTAACTGCTTTCATATGGGTCACATAAATCCTATGGAAATCATGTATTTTGGAACTTAGTCATTTCCCCTTACATTTCTGATCATTCTCTGTTATAAATGTCTCAGTTGCCTCCATGTTCATTTACTGTTCATTTGAAATTTCTAATGCTTCCATAAGTTTATTTTCTGGAGTTTCCATTTATATGTTGTTGTCGTATACCTACCATTTCATGCTCTTTAAAAATACCACCTTATTAATTTCTTTAAATTCATTTTTCTAGATAATCATATTCTCTGAGCCCTATGCTGCAAATAATAACGTATGCTCAGTTAACACAGGCTTATTATTAAATGGACCATTTCATTGGTATAACTGTTCTAACACAGTCCCAGTGCTTCACATGCTTTATTAACTGATCAGGAAAGTTGGTGTTCTCATTAATCAAAGAGAGACAGCTGGTGACAATAGAAAGAGCACTGGACTCAGAGACTCTAAACATAGGCTCTTGCTCTAGTTCTTCAGTTAACTCTCTTTGTGACCTTGAGCAGCTCACTTATCTCAGAGATAAGGATTTTGGACATAATCTCTGAGGTGCCTTCAGCTACCCAAATGCTTTGTGATTTCATCAATGTAGATATTCCCCACCACCACCACCACCAGTGGTGCGGATTGCAAACCATGCATGCCTACCCATCCTAGTGACTCTTAGCCATGTCTTCTCATAAATTCACCATTTGCAGCTGTGTTGAGAGCCTTCCTTGGGTTCTCCTGACATCACAAGGATACCAGTGAGTCTCTGGTAGTTATCCCTCACTCTCACCTATCTTGAACAAGCCCATCTCCTTTTTGTTTTTTCTTTTTCTTCATTTCTTTGATGATGTTCTTTATGCTGCTTCTCCTTCATAATTCCTGCCTTTCTTAAGGTCCTAAATATGTAGAATTAATTGAGTTACCTTATATACACACATCAATTCAAAAACTTCAAATGAGATAGAATATGCTTTCCACTAAAATTATACTGAATATAAGATAATATATCTTTGGATAATTTAGAAGGCACTCAGATTCTTGCATTAATAAACAATTTTGAAAGAACTTTCAGAACCCGATCAACATAGTGACCAGTCATGACTTTGGAAGACTGATGATGAAGGGCGCTTCCTATCTCTTGGCAGAAAAGTAATAGACAAGAGGAGGAAGAGCAGCATCAGGGAGACCCATAGGTTGATTTACTTTCCTTGACTTCTTCAGGGGGAGTGTATGAAGAGGAGAAGGGAGAAGAACAAAAGAAAGAAAAGAGCAACGATAAAATGTTTAAAAATGTACATGATAACTTTATTATATCTTTAAAAGGAATAGCAAGTTGTGCATAATAGATTTGCAGTTTCACGTGCGATCATCTTTTTTTAAATTATACTGTTATGGAAATGCATAAATTAAAAATAAATAAATTTTTAAAAAATTCCTAGATGACAAAAAAGAAAGGGACACAAAGAGCAATTGTGTTGCTGCCTTGTTAAATTAAATATACAGTACACTTTTTTTAAAGGGCAGCTAGGTGGCTCCATGGATGGAGCACTGGGCCTGGAGTCAGGAAGGCCTGAGTTCACATCCAGCCTCAGACACTTACTTGCTGTATACCCTTGGGCAAGTCACTTAACCTCTGTTTCCCTTAATCCACTTGAGAAGGAAATATCAAACCCTTCCAGTGTCTTTGCCAAGACAGTCTCATGGACAGTATGGTCCATGGGATCACAAATAGTCGGACATGACTGAATGAAACCTTTTTTAAAGAACAAATTATATATAACAGGTTCATGATTCATATACCTCTTTTTCTTTGTATGCTGCAGTGTTTGTTTTGTTGATCATCGTTAAGTTCATAATAAAAAAGAAAATTTAAGTTTAAAAAGGATCATTAAAAACATGAAGGTGAATCAGTCGCTTAACCCATTTCCTTCCTCCCCTCCCCATCCCTCAACTTCAATTTACTTATTTGGAAAATGGGGGAAATAACGCCCGTAGTACCCATCTCACAAGCTTGTTTTGAGGATAATGTATGTAAAGCACTTTGCAAATTTCTAAGTACTATATTATTATTGTTGTTGTTGTTAATTATGCATTCTTTCATTCAACAGCCTAATACTTTGCTGAACTATTTGTTATCTCACTGTTTTACTCAGTATTAACATAGATAGACTCCTGCTCTTCCCAGGGACTTTACTACAAGCACTTAATTGTCTGTTTGAGACCTTAACTGTCTCGAGGCACTGACCCTCCTCCCCAAACACACGGGCACGCACATGTACACACACACACACACACACACACACACACTTCACATGCATTCTTTGGCTTAAGATTCTAGTGCATCTTATTTCATATTGATTGTTTGTGTTCTAGATGGCCCAGATGACACCATAATGCTGCTGGGATGGAGCAGAAACCTTTTTACAGATGAAGAAAACATTTTAAAACTTGGAAATTGAGCAAAAAGAAATATACCTGTTTAATTCTGTTTTCTATAAGCCAAGTCAAAAAAAATTATTTGGGAAAGATAGCGTTCACTTGAAAATACCATTATATTTGTATAGTGTCTTCTCTGTTGTAATTTGACAGCCATCGCCACTAAGTAAAAGTGTACAAAAATAGCTTTTTTCTTTTTTTTTTTTTAGCAAGCAAGATACGACAAAAATTGAAAAGAAATGACTAGTTTATCCTTTTGGATTTGGAGTGAGATTTCAAATTAAACTTCACATTAAAAACCTCTTTCCTCCTGTATGTCATTTCTGTGCAGTGAAACATCTGGACAGACTTGAGCTTAGCCACTGTTTTCTCTGTAGTGGTAGAGCAAAAGAGTGGTAATTCCAAATGTTCTTTATCACCTTCAGAAGTTTTTATAACCATATGGGAATGGTCTGTGATTCACAGCCAAGTATGACTTAGTAAGTCCTAGGGAGTTGCTTGAGGCAAGTTAGGTAAAGTGACTTGCCTAGGATCACCCAGCTACTAAGTGCCAGAAGCAGAATTTAAACCCACATCCACTTGAATCCTGGACAAACCCTCTATCCACTGCACTAGATTGCTGAGAAGTATTTGAAAGCAATAACAAAGAGAAATTTACCTGAAAAGTATAATATTGACTCTGAAGTCAAGTGTAAATGGCATGAAAATATGAGTAGAAAATGTTTAAAAAGCAAGATTAGTAAAGAATTATTTGTGAGTGTGATGCTAAAATCATCTGTCAATCATGCCTACTACATGGGCAGAATTGTGCTATATGTCATGGGAGATAGAGTTTTCTCTTTGAGGCAACAGAACTTAAAATAAGCTCTTGAGTTGTGCTTACTGTGAGAGGAACTAAGCTTCTCTGTGTGCTCATGGAAGATTGAAGGCACAGTGAGGGAAGAAGGGGAAAATAGGGTCAAAAAAGGAGTGAAAGAAGGAAAGAAGGGCAAAGTGAAAAAGAAGAGGGAGGAAAAAAGAGAAAGAATCTCTAATGCATCAGGTGTTCCCTGGTTACATTTATGTTGAAAGTTGCCTCCCGTTGGCCTAAAAATTATATCCTGACATGACTGATGGACTTTTAAAACTACATTCCCATATTAACACAATTAAATATAAATAATCTTCATATTCCATCCTGTGAATACTCCATGCAAATTGTTCACTTATTTTTAATCAGGCTGCAATAAGTCTGCTTCAATTCTTAAGCAGCCCTACAAAGGATCATAGATCTAGAACTGAAAGAGGCCTTAAAACATCAGTATTACAGATAACAAACGACAGTATGTTTTTGACAATTTTTTTTATCTGATACTTTTGTTCCATTAGTCCCAAGAAACATTTTTTTATGAAGTAACTGCAAGACCTTTTTAAGGTACTGAGCAATGATAGATGTTAAAAGAGTTCTTTACTTTGTGACAGAACCTATGATAATCATAATTGGTGGTGAAATATATTTCATATCCTTCAGTAGAGAGTGGTGCCAGAAATGATTTTGTCAGTCAATTTTATTTAAGTTTGTGGTATGTCAGGAAATTACTTGTGTAAAAAACAAAAAGTCATCAGTAAGACTTTCTTTCAAATAATGTATTATCAAGAGTTCCTGTCTGTCCTTTGAAATCTTCCCAAAATGTTGTGTGTTTGGCTATACTCAACTTTCCATTCAATTATTTAGGTGAAATGACCACTTCTCCACGAGGTGCCAATGATTTCCACCCCAGGAGCAACCAGTTCTTCATTTTTTGGTGAAAATCAGGGCCCAAAGAGCAGTTTACCTCCTTAGTTCTCTACCTTTTGAAGGATGAAATAATCATTAAGTGAAATTTTAAAAAATATTTGCTGCTGTGCTTTATGAAGAAACAAATCCAATAGGTATCTAAATCTTTGAAGTGTCCCCCATCACTACTGTATCATCCCTCCATGCCAGGATTCTGGTTTCTTATCTTTTTTCTGGTCTGGTGAACAGGTGGCCTCTATTTATCCCTCCATTGAATTTTACTGTTACTTTCCACAGTGCTTCACCCTTCTAGTTACTAAATGCCTTCACAGGAAAATATATATATATATATTGATATATATATATATATATATATATATATATACATATATATATATATATATATGTTCTTAATATACAATACTACTCCCCACTTTTTGCTAAATTCAGTTTAGTTCTGTTGTAAGTCTCTAAATTTCAGGGCTCTGGGTCAGATTCCCATCTGCCTCAGCCTAGTTCTGTGTTAGGCTCTGTTATGAGAGTTATGACTGTGTCTAGAGCACTTGCAGTACTTCATCAACATAGAAACAACTGGTTTTAAGTAATTAACAAGAATAACTAGTTAAAATAACCTTTAGTAGCTCCTCCATTATAGTCACTTATTAGTAAGTCTTAACCTGACAGCCTCAGTTGTATAATTATAGTAGTTAGCATTTATATGGAGCTTTAAGGTTTGCAAAGCAGTTTACATGTATCTCATTTGATTGTCAGAATAATCCTCAGAGGCAGGTGCTATTATTATCCCCATCTTACAGATAAAGAAACTGAGGCAGACAGGTTAAGGGTCATGCAGCTAATAAGTATCTAGGGCCAGATTTGAACTCAAGTTTTCCCCACTCCAGATCCACCACTCTATCCACTGAACTGCCATGCTAGTTTGGTTTTTTTCACCCAAACCCCTTTTATGACCAGACACAAAAGCTATCAACTATGGCTCTGGAGATGACCTTCCAGAGCCTCATTCCCCTTCATGAGTCCTGTTGTTTGCCCCAGTGACACCTGTAAGGTCAAATGTTCCTCCTTGTGTTTGAATCTCTAGCTCGCCTTTCTTATTACCCCTACTGTGTATTAATTTTATTCCTGGCTTCCTTCTTGGGTTTTATCTCCTATATATTACATCTCTACCCTGTTTTTAGCTTGTATTTATTCTTTATGGTACCTTTATGGATAAACATATGCCTTTTTCTCCCTCTCCCTTCTTCCATTTCAATTTAAATACCATTTTGAGAGATCTGTAAGACGGTAGCAGATGCATATTTCCCAGTCCTTGTTAGGGGCTCCCAACCCCAGGCCAGGAGCTCATCATTCCTATATTTTCATACATGGTCCGGAATCCCAAATCCTGTTCATAACTCTTCACTTTACAAATCTCTTCTGAAGCCTTTGCCTTCTATCAATAAATAGCAATAGTTAAGCTAGCGGCTGTATTCCTAGGGTCTTCAGTTCCTTACACAATTTGATAAGCATTGATGAAGCACTGAGGATACAAAGGACCAAAAAAAACCCCCTCTAATCCTTGCTCTTGAGTATATTGTAATGAAGGAGACAACATGAAGATATCTAGGTAGATACAAGATACATCCAGAGTATATGAAAGCAACTTGAAAGGGAAAAACCTTAGCAGCTGAGGGGACCAGGCAGAAAGCTGGACTTGAGCATTCTTGAAGGAATGTAAGAAGATTAAGAGGCAAAGGTGACAGAGCAAAGCTTTCTGGGCATGGCGGGAACAGAGAGAGGAGATGAAACATTGTGTCTGAAGGATACCGTGGAGGGGAGGTAAGAGGTGAGAAGATTGGAAAGGTAAGAAGGAGCCAGGTTGTAAAGAGCTTTAAATCTCCAAGACTATATATTTGGTCCTCAAGTAATAGGGAGACACTGGCACTCCTCAAGCAGGTGGAATGATTCAATCAACCCTATGCCTTGGAAGAATTACCTTGGAAGCTGAACAGTGTGTGGTTTGAAATGGGGAGACTGTTTAACCAGGGAAACCAGTTAAAAGGCTAATGGGGGCTTGTACTAGAGTTGTGGCTGAAGGAGTGGAGAATACATATGAGAGATATGATGGAGTTGTGGCTAAAGGAGTGGAGAATACATATGAGAGATATGATGGTAGAAAGGACAAGATTTGGCAATAAATTGGATATGTGGGATGCATAAGAGGGAGGAATCAAAGATGATGCTGAGCTTGTGGCCTTTGGTGCCTGGGGGGATGGTGCTTCCCTCAACAGTGATAACAAAGTTCAGAAGGGAGGAGGTTTGGGGATAGAAAGATGAAATCTGTCCTGGGCAGATTGAGAACTCTATGGGATGTCCATTTTGGGACGTCCAAGAAGCAATTGGGCTACTAAGTGGCCTAATGGATAGAGTGCTAGGCCTGAAATCAGGAAAACTCATCTTTCTGAGTTCAAGTCTGGCCTGACACTTACTAGCTATGTGACCCTGAGCAAGTCATTTAACCCTGTTTGCCTCAGTTCCTCATTTGTAAAATGAACTGTAGAAGGAAAGTACAAGCTACTCCAGTGCCTTTGCCAAGAAAAGCCTAAATGGGTCACGAAAAGTCAGGCACAACTGAAAAACAACTGAACAAGAAGAAGAAGAGGCAACTGGAGGTATGCAGTTAGCTCAGCAGAGAAACTAAAGCTACATATGTAGATCTGGAAATAATTTGCGTAGAGATAATTAAACCCATAGAAACCAATGAGCTTGCCAAGTGAGATGATATGAAATGAAAAGAGAAGGGGACCCAGGACAGAGCCTTGGGGGCACCCACAGTTGGAGAATATGATATGGATGAAGAACCAGCAAAAGAAACCAAGTAGCGGTCTACAAGAAGAAGAGCCAGGAGACAGTGGTGTCATGAAACCTTGGAGAAGAGAAAGTATCTAAAAGGAGAAGGTGATCAATAGTGTCGTGTTGCAGAAAGTCAAGAAAGATCATGAGTGAGAAAACAAGTTCTCATAATCTTCAGTATCTTCCTAGCAGTATCTTTTGTCCCACCCAAATTGCCAGAAGTGGCTTGTAGTCATCAGATTTGATAAGTCTTAGAAGGTTTTCTGTCACATCCTAGGTAACCATCCGGGAAGTAGTAGTTGACATTTATATAGCACATTATATAGCTTTGCAAAGTTCTTCATACTGTATATATTACCTAATTTAAGCCTCACAATAACCCTGTGAGGGAGGCACTATAAATATTCTCTCCGTTTTTACAGATAAGGAAATAGAGATTCAGGTTAAGTAACTTGTCTATGGTATGATATGATAAACATTTATTAAGAACCTACTATGTGTCAAGCACTATGTAAGCTCTAGGGATACAAATAAGACAAAGAAAGCCTCTGCCCTCAAGGAGCTTACAGTGGGAAGTCAGTATACAAAAGAAATCCAAAAAGGGGGACTGCCAGAGGGTACTCAGCTTGAAGGGGGAGGTGCATGGTGGTAGTGGTGATGATGATGATGATGATGATGATGGTGATGAAACCAAGCA